TTGTTGGTGGGATTGTAAAGTGGTGCAAACATTCTGGAAGGCAGTTTGGCTCTTCCTCAAAAAGTTGAACATATCAATTCCATATGACCTAAATATTCCACTACTTAGAATATACCCTGAGAAAATGAGAACTGAGGCACAGAGATTTGTACATCAATGTTCATAGCAAATGTCCAACCACAAATGAATGGATTGAGAAATTATGGCACACTCACACAATGGAATACTATGCAGCATGCAGGAGCAATGACTTTGTAAATTATTACCTAACTTGAGAGGCACTGGAGAACATTATGATGAGTGAATAACTCAGTCGCACAATGATAAATATTGTATAAAACCATTATTATAGAATGAGTATAAGGACTCAAGAGGGGTGGGAGAGGTTGGAAGCAGAGGGATGAGAATGTGCAGGGGAAGGGAAGGATTAATGATGAGGTTGAACAATTTTTTGGGTCGGGAGATGAGAAAAATTTAAAGAATTTGATCTTGAAAATAGTGTATTTGAATTTTGTAAATAAGCTAGTAGAAAATTTAAAAAGAAACCCAACTCATGTGCAACAAGAAAGCAGTCTGTAGATCAACATTTTAGAAAATACAAATACAGATTTGAATTAAACACTTAAAATATATTATTCTTATATGAAAAAAGTGATAGAGGTGACATCATGACAGAACCAGATTATATTAAATCAATAATATTAGAATATTATTAAGGGCTACATGTTGATAAATTTGAGAACCTAGGGGAAATGGACAAATTCCTTGAAACTCATGCCCTACCCAGATTGACATGGACAGATGTAGAACACTTGAATAGACCCATCGCAAAAGAAGAAATTAAGCAGGTCATAAGACAACTCCCACACAAAAAATGTCCTGGATCAGATGATAATTTCAGATAAGACCTATCTCCAATTTAAAAAAAATATAAAAAGAAGGAACACTCCCAGAGACATTCATTACCAAAATCAGGGAAAGACCTTACAACCCCCCCACCCCCCTGCCACACACACAGACCAATATCTCTCGTGAATATGGATACAAAAATCCGTAACTAAATCCTGGCCAATAGCATCCAACAGCACATAAAAAAAATAATTCTTCGTGACCTAGTGGTATTCATAGCATAATCAAACATTGTGTGTATTATAATTGATGTTGTTGTTGTTGTTATGTGACATCGAGTCACAGACTCATAGTGACCCTATGTACAAGA